TGGAAAGGAGTGACAGAGTTGAACATCATCTGCGTACAGATGACATCGCACTCCGAAACTCCGGATGATCTCGCCCAGCGGCTTCATGTAGATGTTAAACAACATGGGAGACAGTATTGAACCCTGAGGAACCCCACAAGACAAAGGTTGTGGGGTTGAACAGGAGTCTCCCAATAACACCTTCTGAGACCGACCCTCGAGGAATGAGCGGAGCCACTGCAGAACAGTACCTCCAAGACCCATCCCCGCGAGGCGTCCCAGAAGGATACCGTGGTCCTTTCTGGTGGATCCACATCTGCAACTTTTGATAAATTGGGGAGTGCAAGTGTTTTGTGATAGAAATGACAGCTGGATCCAGGCCTCCACAACACAGCACCCTCCAAAGGTTCCCATCGATGTATTATCGAAGGCTTTCATGGTCCAAATCATTGCGTTGCTGTACGTTTTTCGAGCTGTCTGACCATGCTCCAGAAGCATTCTCTCCTGACATTTCGCCTGCAATTATTTATTTATTTTATTTATTTATTCCCTATTTTCTCTTCCTCCTTAGAGCAGTGGTTCTCAAACTGCCTAATGCCGTGACCCCTTAATGCAGTCCCTCATGTTGTGGTGACCCCCAACCATAACATTGTTTTTGTTGCTACTTCATAACAATCATAACAATCCCGCCTCATAGGAAACCTGTTACAAAACAGGAGCTTTTTTGTTGAGTTCCAGGGCCAGAGAAGCAGATGGCGGAGACATAAGAACGGCCTGCCTCAGGGGAGCGTGCTTGCCCCATCCATGTTCAACATCTACACAAATGACCACCCACTGCCAGAAGGGACAGAGAGCTTCATCTNTCATTCCTCCAAGCACCTTGTCCACATCCTCGGATTGAACCAATTGAAATGAATCCATCAAAACCGGACACTGTTGTTGTTGTATGCCTTCAAGTCATTTCAGACTTTGGGCGACCCAAAGTCTAAGGTTTGGGGGGCGGTTAAAAGGCCTTGGAGGGTTGCATCTGACCAGCAGACATTAGTTATGGATTGGTTGAAGAGCAGGATCAAAATTCTATAGACATGCAACTTTAGTCAGGCATTGCTGTTTTTTATTTGTTCAGTTATTTCCGACTCCTCGTGACCTCATGGACCAGCCCATGCCAGAGCTCCCTGTTGGCTGACCGTGGTCACCTCCAGCTCCTTCAAGGTTAAGCCAGTCACTTCAAGGATACCATGCATCTTGCCCTTGGTCAGCCCCTCTTCTTTTTTCCTTCCATTTGGGGGTGGAACTTGGGCAGTGACTTTGTTTGATCCCATCTAGTTTAGAGCATTTGCAGATTTATTTATTTATTTACCATACTTGTATCCCGCCTTTCTCAACCCCAAAGGGGACTCAAGGAGGCCTTACAAAGGCAACAATTCAATGCCACATGTATACATTCATCAATGGATAAACAAAACATTAAAACCATCCAGTTAAAACATAACGTTAAAACAACAATTAAAATCACACAGACCAGGTCATATTCCAAGGCTAGTCCAGGTCGTCATTAAAATCAATTTACAATCTCTTATTGCCTCAGTCCCATTATTGACCAAAAGCCTGATCCCAGAGCCAAGTTTTTAGTTTTTTTCTGAAGGCCAGGAGGGAGAGGCCCGGTTTAATTTCACTGGGGAGGGAGTTCCATAGATGAGGGGCCACCATTGAGAAGACCCTGTCTCTCGTCCCCACCACTCGCGCTTGCGAGGGGGGTGGGACCGAGAGCAGGGCCTCCCTTGACAATCTTAGCTTCCAAGGTGGATCATAGAGGGAGATATGTTTGGACAGGTAATCTGGGCCAGAACCATTTAGGGCAGTGGTTCTCACCCTGTGGGTCCCCAGGTGTTTTAGCCTACAACTCCCAAAAATCACAGCCAGTTTATCAGCTAGGTTCTTGTAGGTTTTTTCGGGCTATAGGGCCATGTTCTAGAGGCATTTCTTCTGACGTTTCGCCTGCATCTATGGCAAGCATCCTCAGAGGTAGTTTATCAGTTTATCAGTTTATCAGCTGTTAGGATTTCTGGGAGTTGAAGGCCAAAACACCTGGGGACCCACAGGTCGAGAACCACTGGTTTAAGTCTTTTTAGGCTAAAGCCAGCACTTTGAATTGTGCTTGGTAGCAGACTGGTAGCTAGTGGAGCTGACGGAACAGCTGGAATGAGGCAAAATTGGGATATATGAAGGAACCTCCTGCCAGAAACCAGTTTTCTCCTTAGGAATATATTAGACTATATTAACCACTGAAGTTGTGGAATGAATGATGGTGCAAAACATTAGAAAAAATGCACAGCTATATCACTCTCTACTTTACTCCCCACCCCACCCTGAAGCTTAGCCAAGGTTGTGCCGCTCTTGTTCTGCAAATGGATGCAGATCATTACTGTGCTGGAAATCAAATTGCTAGATAACCTCATCTTTCCTCACATTCTATGATTAATTTTCCACATATGTCCTTATTATTGCATTATTCTCTTCAGAATCAAAGGATCTGCTCAGAAAAAGCAATCCTCTCAGGGCCACATTAGTCACCGTGTGACACCAGAACAGCCTTTTACAAAACAGGGAAAACGGTGTCCATCTCTTCCCCTGTCCCATCCCTGTGGCTCTTTGCAGAGACTCAAATGTGTGTTTGCAAGGGATCTGGATCTGAATTTAAATACAAGATAAAGTGTCTAATCACAACTGAATCATGTTCCATGAGAACAATGTTCAAGAGATTAAAGTAATAAGATTGCAATAAAAAAGCGATTTAACAGGTAGTAAAAATGCACATCAGATTTAGCAGCATATAGAATGAGGAGTGAATTTATTTTCTAAGACAGAAATTTACTCTTTACATTTTGCAGCCATCTGTTCCAGTTACTTTTTTTATCTGCCCATTTATCTCTTCTTCCCTCTGCTCTCTGATCAGGTGTAGGCAGGCGTACACACAAAAGAAATCAGGGGAAGAAGACTCTCACCAAGAAGAGAGTTGAGCAGCAACACTTTCCTTCAAAGCAGAGGTCTGTCTGGCAGCTCTAGTGAACAAGACAGGAAAACGTTAGCACATTGGATTTCCCTTCCAAATTAGTTGGCTGGAAGGCTGGTTTCAGCCACACACCAAGGACTAGCTGCCAGACTCCAGCACAAACAGGAGCAAACCTAGGATTTGGTAAGGCTCATTTTGGAGGGTACAGCTGAACTGGACATTATTTCCAGTTCTTGGATAGACTGCATGACCGGCTATCAGACCTGGGACCTCGCAGCCTGTAGACCCGCCTTAATATCGAGGGCTTCATCATGATGAAGGCATGATGAAAATACTTAATACACATATTGGAAAATATCAAATATAGGAATTAGAAAATATATATGAAATCACAAAGGGATATGTATGCATGAACATTCACTTGGGAGGAGATGCTCTTCCTAAAAACTGTAAATTAGATGCCACAAAGAGGCCAGGGTATAGGAAATGAATGTCTTAGGCTTCTAGCAAATATCAAGAGACCCTTCCATACTGTACCAAGCAGGGCTTATTGTAAGATTAATGATGTAGCCTTGCCATCAAGAGGCTTCTTCAGGAGGGACTTATCTCAAGATGGATGGAAGTTCTTGCTATCAGTAGCCGGTGGTAGACACTCTGGCACTGTGGGGTACAGGGTGGTCCTCTAAGAGCAACTCTTTAGCTAAAGGTGCTTGATGGAAGATTAAAGGTATTGGAGTTAAAAATATGCTGTTGGAAACAATGTGAAATGAAATTTTGTGACGCACATTATGATGCTTGTATGATATATGCATATTATTATAAAGGGTATATGAACCAAGGCAATTCCTTTGTTCACTGTCTTCCTGGAATACCAGCAGGATCCATATCCGGTTGGCGCCAACTGAAAATAAACCGTACTTTTGCAGACCTCAGGAACTCTCTTTTGTCTCATTTTCTCAAACCTCCTTCAATTACACTAGAGAAAGAATCCACTTTAAATCTGGTTTCTGCCTCCTGCAGAATTTTGGGGTTTGTAGTTTTGGGAAGAGGCTTTAACAGTCTCACTAAACTACAAAGCCCAGAATTCTGCAAGAGGCAGAAACCGGATTTAAAGTGGATTCATTCTCTACTGTGATGAGGTCATCGTTGAAGACACAGAAGCTGGAACACACTAGAACTGAGTATCTGAGAAAGGAGACTGAGGGCTGGCAGGGGGAGTCTAAAACTGAGCTACACAACCAAAAGCTTGTCTGTACAAACATATAAAAGCCCAGAGAAGTAGCGTAAGTGCCCATTTGCTGCTGGCTGCTGCTTTTTCTTTAAAAACTGTGTTTTGAATCAAGATTTATTTTGCCTGTGTGAGAGGGGAGAGGAAGGGGCAGAAAAGAGCAAAAGGGTAATATGCGAAAGTAGCTTGAGCCCACTGGAAAGTAAATACTAAATATTTCATGGACACAATTTCCCCTCGCTAAACTCTTAAGCAGACTTGGGTTTTTCCTCGCTGATTCATTCCCTTTAGGTATCTCGTGTGTTTATCATTCTAATTTTATTCATGTTCTGTTTCTTGTCTTCACACACAATTAAAATGGTTCTTCATATTAAATGGATTACATGCTCTGTGCTATAAATAAATGTAGGAATTAAGATTCTGTTAACTTGTTTTAAGTGATAAGAAATCAGAGGCACCAGACTTCGCTCTCAGTCCCAGGAGGGGCTGCATACGTGCTCCTGCTAATAGAGAGCGCCTTTGTATATACATTCTCCCTCCCCGGACCCTTGTTCTGCTGTGAATGTTGGGCAACAAGCAGCCCAGGATGGGATTTCCTTTATATTTTCTGCACAATCTGCTTGTATTCATAACACGGCATGTTCGTGGAAACTGAAAGGACCCACTGGAATGGTTTAGAAGTTGGTGGTCACTGGGTATTCATACATCAGGAATTTGGAAATCATTTGGGTAACATGCAATCTACATTTCCCCATTCTTTTTTATTATTTCCTTCTTTAGTGAAGAATATGAGACGGATTTACTGCTGAATGGAGAAACTGTTGCCTCTAGAGATGGAGACCAGTGCCAGGTAGGCTCACATGTACTTTAGAAAGTATGATACAAACAGGGTAATGCTAGGACCAAGTAGTTGCCTAGGGATGTTTTCTTTAAAGAGAAATTCATGGCTGCTCCTATTGCAAAACACAATGCCAATCTAGTAACTGCAGTACGCAAAAGAAGCACAGGTAGCTGAGTGATGAGGGGAGGCATCAGTGAAGAAAGTTACTGGAAAGGTTTGGGTGGACTGGTTTAATTGATTAGGACTGGATCGGGCTAAGAATCTTTGAAAATATGACCTGCTTGTTAGCTGGATTTAGACAGGGTCCTGTTGGGAATTTCACTAACTGAGGCATGGGAAATTGTTTAAGCACCACCATTGGGTTACAATGGACCCACTCTCACTCAGATGGAGGGAGACTACCAAAAAAATGGGAAGTGAGAGATTACTGGATCTGGGAAGGAAGGCTGCAGAACGCATCCATTCAGGCAATCCTGTTTATTCAGTGGTTGCAGATGGCACCACCAGACACCATGGCACCCCTGGTGGTGCAATGGGTTAAACCATTGTACCAGCAGGACTGCTGACCAAAAGGTTGGTGGTTTGAATCCAGGGAGTGGGGTGAGCTCCCATCTGTCAGCTCCAGCTTCCCATGCAAGAACATGAGAGAAGCTTCCCACAAGACTTAAGGAGGGGAAACTCCTGATGGCTTTTCCCCTGCCTTCTCCTTTTCCCTCAAATGGAAACCAAACCACCATAGCCTGAGAGCAGGGAATCTTATAGGGCATGGTCTCCAGAGTACTAACCCATCTCTCACACCCACTCTCCTCCCTCTCCCTTTCCCTCTCCTCTGCAGCAACACAAGGCTCCACGTCATCTCCTGCTACCGTTTACTTCAGCTCTGGCTATTGCTACTTCTCACTTCAGCAGCTCCATCATGCAGCGCTTGGTCTCTTCGCACCCGGGACACGCTGGCACAAGCACGGCCACTTTGCAGCCATCGCAATCCCTCAGCCCTCAGATCCGTTTGCCTCTGGGACAAGAACTTTGCTCCGGAGAAAGGCTCCCTCTCCCTCTTGCAGCGCCAGCGGGCCCTGGCTTCCAGGGGAGCTGGCCTGCGCAGTGCAGCACGGCTGAGGCGCCAGGCCCAGGGAAGCCGGCCTGCCACCCCGTCGGGCTTTGAGGATGGGCTGTCTTCCTCACAGTACCCCTGGGCCATAGTTTGGGGGCCCACAATATCAGTTGAGGATGGAGGTGATGCCAACTCTGCCAACCCAGGCTTACCACCCCTGGATTATACCTTTGTCTCGTCAAGTGGGATGGCGACAGCACAACCCAATTCCCATTCACTGTTACACAATGAAGGGCTCAACCTGCGCCAGACTCCAGCCACACTACGGCCCTTCCTCTTTGGACCTCGAGGAGAGGGTAATGTTCACCCACTTCCTTCTATGCCCAAGAACAGATGGGACCAAGATCCTTCATTGCTCTGGTGGATTCCGTTTCTGCTAAATGTAGCTATGTGACCTCTCTTTACCCCACCCCATATATCTATCAACCGGCTTTCTGCCTGGGCAGTGTTACCATCAGCCATTATGGGACCAAGATAGTAGTGGTAGTGGTGGAGGGGGAGGGGGACAATGAAAAGCAGCCACACAACCAGCTGGCTATAACTTAACAGGTAACAAGAAGAAGATGTCAGCCTCCTGGATCTCTATAGCAGTGTTTCTCAACCTGAGAGTCAGGACCCTCAGGTTGTCAAAGGGGTCACCAAAGACCATCGGAAAACTCAGTATTTTCTGTTGGTCATGGGGGTTCTGTGTGGGAAGTTTGACCCAATTCTCTAGTTGATGGGGTTCAGAGTGCTCTTTGATTGTAGGTGAACTATAAATCCCAGCAACTACAACTCCCAAATGTCAAGGTCTATTTTCCCCAAACTCCACCAGTGTTCACATTTGGGCATATTGAGTTTGTGTGCCAAGTTTGGTCCAGATCCATCATTGTTGGGGCCCACAATGCTCCCTCAAAGTAGTTGAACTACAACTCCTAAATTAAAGATCAATACCCACCAAACCCTTCCAGTATTTTCTGTTGGCCATGGGAGTTCTGTGTGCCAAATTTGGTTCAATTCCATCATTGATGGAGTTCAGAAGGCTGCTGATTGCAGGTTAACTATAAATCCCTTCAAGTACAACTTCCAAATGACAAAATCAATCCCCCCTTCCAGTATTCAAATTTGGGTGTATCGGGTATTTGTTCCAAGTTTGGTCCAATGAATGAAAATACATCCTGCATATCAGATGTTTACATTATGATTCATAACAGTAGCAACATTACAGTTATGAAAGTAGCAACGAAAAGAATTTTATGGTGTGGGGTCACCACAACATGAGTAACTGTATTGAGGGGTCATTACATTAGGAAGTCTGAGAAACACTGCTCTATAGGATCCACAGGATGCTTGTTTTCCCTGTGGGTGGCTGTAGCAAGAGAACTGGCTGGCCATTGAAAGCAGTGGCCATTGATCAAACAGGTTAATCCCTGTGGGAGATAATCATAGTGGATGCTAAATTCTTCCATCCGACAGAACCAAAAAATGTTACTTAACGTTCAGTTACACTTACAATACACAATGTGTATGTTGCAAACATGATACCAGCTAAGGCAGTGGTTCTCAACCTGGGGTCCCCAGATGTTTTTGGCCTACAACTCCCAGAAATCCCAGCCAGTTTACCAGCTGTTAGGATTTCTGGGAGCTGAAGGCCAAAAACATCTGGGGACCCCAGGTTGAGAACCACTGAGCTAAGGTGTGCCAACTTCTTGGAGAGAGCAGAGCTTCTGTGTGCCTTTAAGAATTTGAGTGATTAAGCAGAAATTGGGCAGGTGAGGCCTTTCCTTTTACTACAACCGCAATGCTCCACTTTCTAGATCCGACTTCTTTTTTAAAGGCACACAAAAGCGCCCAGCCAAAAAAGCTGACAATCCAAGATAAGACTTACAGCTTGCATGTTCATCATTCTCACTGACTTTCCCTGTCTTTACGTATTCCAGGTGTGGATCCTCAGCTGTATGTTACCATTACGATCTCTGTCATTATTGTTCTAGTTGCTATGGGAATAATACTCAAATTCTGGTGAGTAGATTTTAGGAGGCTAAGAGAACCATTCCACAATTCATCTAACATGAGGGAAGTTACTATGGGATGTGAAGGCAGTACATTGAAAGCTAGCAGTTTGCCTGTGAGCTGGCAGTATACCTGATTGCACAAACCGATTCTTTCAGAAGTGGTCAGGCTTCATAAATCAAGTCACTGAAATCCAACAGCTCTGTATTATGGAACATGTCCTTCCAGGTGTAGCGCTGGATAGGAATATGTACATGGCATGTTATGTAAATATCAAAGAAAGGCACCATGTTATTTCTTCACAGTTCACTTCTTTCTCTTCCTGTGGGCAAATCTTTCCACCCTACTTTGAATACCTTGGTCTATGCTATGTAAAACCCATAGGCTACACATTGCCTCACACTACCTTAACAGACTCCTGATGTTTTCCCTAACAGCTGCTTCTTAACAACAGTGAGCTGCTGAGCTGTTCCAAATGCATTTGGAGACATCTAAGGGTTTGGCATTTTCAAATTGACAAGAGATTGTTTGTTTTGTGTAACACCAGTGGGCATACTGATTTGTGCATATGAGTTGTGTACAGATTAGTAGCATCCATATATATAATCCAAACATTCATGTGGATTTATTTTAAACTGTAAAAATATTTTAAATTTAAATTATACATTGCAAATATATATTTGATCTTTTTTTAAAAAATAGGTCATTTTTCTCAACTCATATTTGTTTTAGTCCAACTTTTTATTATTATTATTCCTGAATTAGATCATTATATTTCTGCTGTATTCAATTTAGGATGTAGACTGGTATGACATTTTCAAGGTGTTTGGTCCAGTAGCTTTAGAGAGCACAGATATTATGTGCAAAAGATCCTGTGTTGAAAGCATCTACACTGTAGAATTAATGCTGTTTGCCACAGTTTTAACTGCCGTGACTCAGTGCCACAACAGGAGCCCCAGTGGCACGATGGGTTAAACCCTCGTGCCGGCAGGACAGAAGACTGATAGGTCAGAGGTTCAAATCCAGGGAGAGTGCGGATGATTTCCCTGTCAGCTCCAGCTCCCCATGCAAGGACATGAGAGAAGCCTCCTGCAAGGATGGTAAAACATCTAGGCATCCCCTTGCCAACATCCTTGCAGACGGCCAATTCTCTCACACCAGAAGTGACTTGCGATTTCTCAAGTCACTCCTGACACGAACAAAAGTGCCACATGGATTCTTGGCATTTGTAGTTTGGTGAGGAACGCTTTGGCAGAAAAGGCTAAAGGCCTTATTAAACTACAGCTTCCATGATTTCATAGAACTGAATTATGTGCAAAAGACTAGTGTCAACCTGCATTAATTCCACAGTGGCAATGCAACCCTCTGAGCCGGAAGAGATAGCACATCTACACTTACCACATAGATTAATGTAGATGAGGATCAGCCCTGCGGTGGCTACATGCCCATGAGGCTGATCTATGGTAATGTGAGGCAAGGCCACCATAACGCACCCTGGCTCCATGTTATTGAAAGTTGGGGAAAAGATCAGAGTTCAGTTTCTCTGGCTCAGAGTTCAGTTTCTCCCCAACTTTGGGACTAGTGGGGACGGCATCCTGTGTTCCTTGGGCTCGGGCGGTCCAAGGAAAAGGGACAGCAGCCCCTTCCACTCGCCTGGTTTGTGATTGTCTCTGGCCACAACATGGGGCCTGCCTCTTCCCCGTTGCTTGACCTGACATCAGCCAAGGCAACAGGGAGTGCTAAGGAGCAAGAGGAGAGAGGAGGGGGAAATTCCTCCTCTCCCTTCCCTTAGTGCCCAGTTGCTCTGGCTGATGTCAGCACTAACAATGGGGAACAGATAGGTTCAATATCACAGTCAGAGTTTGGCGCCACCGGGTGGGGAGGACTTCCTTTGCCCCACAGAAGCTGGGGGAGTCCTCATGCAAACACATACTGGGACCGATTCGTCATCTAGCACACCAGATCAGGCCTAATTTAAATATTTGTGCATATGTGTCCTGAGACTCTGGGGAGTTGCTGCTGATCAGTTGAGACAATGAAAAACCAGATTGATAAAGCAGCTTCCTATGTTCTAAGGGCACTTTTACAGAAATATGATATAAAGCTTGATTTGTGCTAGAGAGGCAAAATTGATGTCTGAATCAGAGTTCTGCTTGGTGGAGTGCACATTTGTTCTGCATTGAGAGCTTCTGAAGGGAATATAAGCTAACGTTGCTAGTGAAGGTTTCTTTATACTTGTTGTTTTCTCTATAAAGTCTGCTTTCTCCCTTAAGACACCATCTGTGTCTTCCCAAGACACCACGTAAGCACTTAATGGCTTGGTTTACTCAACCATCATAGTTCAAGTTCTCTTCAAGAGATTCTTTCTAGGCACATTGATTGTATTTATTTTGTTTTCCTCATCAGTGTGTTACAGAAGCACAATAAACTATTTGAAGGATAAGTACTCCCACGCTGAAAGTACCGACATAGCTTTAAAAGTCATCTTTCTTACTTGTTATCTTCTTCTTCCAGAACTGATAGGCAACAAAAACAACCCTCTTTTCCTGCTCTCCAATACTGAAGCATATCTTTAAAGCTTGTCCTTGAGACGTGCCATCTTCTTATGTTTTTTTTTACAGCTGCTTTAAAATTGTCCTTAGGACATGTCATCTCTTTCAAGAATCCAGTCAACAGAAACAACCCTTTTTTCATACTGGAGCATTATTTCCAAGGAAAAGTTGGAAATGGCAATGGTGGCAGTAAAGAAAGATCTTTGCTACCCCCATTGCTCCAACAGTGTCCTCCAACAGATCTGTCTCAAGCGGTTAGGGGCCTTTTACGTTCTGCCCTGGAGGAATAGTTGATATACCACTCAGCAGCCCATTGTGAAGAGTTTGCACACTGCTATGTAGATAAAAGTTTTTTGAACCAGCCGTGACTTTATTCCTGCAATTGATACAGGTCTGGTGGATATAGTCTTGGTTCCTTCTTGTCCATTTCTGTTTGCACAACCTGAGAATCAGACAGGATTTTTATAGAAGTGAGAACCACCACTTGCATACTGGGCCCAATCCCTTTCTATCAGTTGAAGGAAAGTCAGGGAGAAGTAGTGGATTAGATAAGGGGAGTAGTTAATGCCTCACTAAAGAAAGTTAATCACTTGACGTTCCTTCAACTTCTCCTTGACGTTCCTTCAACTGTTAGAAAGACAGACTCCCTTGGGCTTGGTTTGCTATTTTTATTCAGATCTCAATCTAGGGCAGGGTATTAGAGACTGTCTGACAGATCTTCAGTATGGTGAGATCATAACCATAACCTTTTTAAGACAAGATGGGAATCTTTATGTTGGCTGAAGGAAACTCAAGGGGAACTGGAGGACTGGGTAAGGAGAGTAGTGAATGCCTCACTAGAGAAAGTTAATCACTACTCCCCTTACCCAAACCACCAGTTCCCCTTGAGTTTCTTCAGCTGACATAAAGAGATTTCCATCTTGTCTCAAAGAGGTTATGGTCAAGCTCTTATTCCTGGATCTCACTATATTAGAGATCTGTCAGACAGTCTCTAATATCCTGCCCTGGAGTGGAAACTGAATAAAAATAGCACACCAAGCCCAAGGGAGTCTGTTGAAAACTTGAAAGCAAAAGAGATCTACGGTTTCAGGGAATGAGCCATCATCAGCTTCTACCCCAAATCAATTTATGGATATCTGTGACACAGCCGAAAGCCTCAGATTGATGTTACATAGAGTGGATTTCTCTGATGTTGTTTTGTTTGTTATGAGATCAAATTTTACTGAGTTTCAGAAACGATCCCATACTACAGATGCACAGGTGGAAAATACACATGCTCTAAAGTTTAAAAAGGAAACAATATATAGCAGCCCTCCTTATTCATAGATTTTACTTTTGTACATTTGATTATTTGCAATAATATTCATCATCATCATCATTTATAATCTACCCTATCTCCCCAGGGGACTCAGGGCAATTTCCCCCCAAAAAGTGGGAAATGTCATAATATAACAGAACAAGAAAGAAGCAAAATCAAACAATAAGTAAAACAACAATGATAACTTATAATAACTAACCCCAAAATAGTACTTAAATAAACATAATATACCACAATAAACACATTTACAACATAATAAAATCTGGACAACTAAAATGCATTAAACTATAGAGTGATTTTTAGCTGACAACAGAGCCAGGATAGATTTCCAGTATCCAGGTGAGATTGTTTTAAGATATTCTAGTCCTCCTCCTCTCTATATATTAGGATGCTTAGGTAAGTTTTCAAAAGTTTTTGAAAAGAAACAAGAGAGGGGGCCATTTTATTTCTTTGGGGAGGGAATTCCAAGTGCAGGGAGCTGTCATGGAGAAGGATCTGTATCTTGTTCCCACTAGCAGCACATGTGATGCGGGTGGGACTGAGAGCAGGGCCCCCACCACAGACCACAGTGCCCATGGTGGTTTTCAAATAGTCTGGACCCGAACCATTAGGGCTTTATAGGTAATAACCAGCACTTCGTGTTTAGCCTGGAAGTGGACCGACAGCCAGTGGAGATGCCGTAACATGGGAGTGGTACAGCGCTCCAGTTAGTAACCTCCAAACTACCTTCAAAGGCAGCCCCATGTAGAGAATGTTGCAGTAGTCCAGACAGGGTGTAACTAAGGCATGGACTACCATGGCCAGATATGGCATCTCAAAATATGAGTGCAGCTGGTGTGCAAGGTTTAGTTGTTCAAAGGAGCTCCTGGCCACCTCTGATTTTTGGGGTTCCAGGGTCAGCAATGTGTCTAGAATCACCCCCAGACTGTGAACCTGTGTCTTCAGGGGGAGTGTGATTCCATCCAGCACATGTAATCCCAACCCTGATCCACCTTTTGACTGACCAGGAGTACCTCTGTTTTGTCTGGATTTACCTTATTAGCCCTCATCCAATCTGTCACTGATGACAGACACCGGTTTAGGGGCAGGATGGCATACTTGGCATTCGGTGGAAAAGAGTAGCAGAGTTGAGTGTCATTGGCATAAATTTGACACCAAACTCTAAAACTGCGATCTCTCCCAGCCGTTTTATGTAGATATTAAACAACATTTGCAAGTCTGTAGCTGACACGTAACCGTTCCACTTACCTCTTCCTCATTTCAATCTCAATTGATCTTCTTGCCCTGTGATTGGAAGGAGGAGTCACAGGGTCACAGGGCAAGGTGGGAAGAGGCTGGCATTGTTGACATGACTCTGTAGCATGCAGATTTGCCTAGAGGTTTTTGTTTTTTGTTTTACTTTTAAGGATGTTTTGCATCACACAACCATCAGGAACATGAGGGGCTGATTGAATTTTAGAGACAATTAAGGTATAGAGGAATAGGTAAACATTTCATAGAATGTAATGTTACACCAACCTGAAACCAATATTAAAAAGATCCAAGCAAATAGCAGCAGCAGCAACAACAAAATGTTTAGTAATAATAAATATACTTGGGGAGACCCCTCTCAAGCATTTACATTTTAATTAAAATGGCAATAAAAGAGAGATATAAAATTGTTATAAGAGGTCTTCCTTAAGCAGGAAGTTCCAAAGAAAAAGCAGGTTACTCCCATTGCCCTCTTGTATACTGACCCAAGTTCACCCTGACTCTGATAAGGAGGGAAGGTAAAGTACAGCCACCTCCTGATGCCTTCGCAGAGTGCCTTCCCGCTGGGAAACATAGCTGAGTGCATGAGGTTAAAGGAACTCCATTTTTTATTAATATCTAGAGGTCACCAATGATATTTCCTTCCGAACAGGACTCTGTATCACATTCATTGCAGCGTGGGATATTTTAGCACAGAAATATTGTTTAGTCATCACTTCACTTCAGCACAGCATTCCCTGTCAAGTATACAGGTGGAGATCTTAATTTCCTGGTAGTTAAAATAGTTCACACTCTGGGGAAATATGCTGTCCTCACAGCTGTTGTAACAGCTAAGAAAAAAAGAGTTTGTGTTCCTTGAAACAACTAAGTAAGTCATGAATTAATGTTGCAGAGAGCATCCCTGGATAGGAAGCTGCTGCTATGGCGCTGACACCTTCCCCTATTTTTCCTGCAGCTGGGACCGGAACCAGAAGCGGCGTCATCACTCCAGCCAGCAAAGCGGACTCCAGCAGCAAGGCAGCCAGCAGCCCTTAACGGACCTGTCTCCCACCACCGTCAGCATCCTGGGGCCGTACAGTGACTCACAGGCTCCTACGCCAGAGACGGTGGAAACTGCACAGGTACTAGAAGGCATGGAGAAGCTAGAGGGCCTAGGGAAGACCAGTGCATTCCAGCTCAACAGGTAAGCAACACACTTAGGAAGAGGTCAGTGGAGTGGCTTGGCTTGGCAAGAGGAGGAGTAGAAGGGGGAAATTACCATATATACTCAAGTATAAGTCGACTCAAAAATAATAGGCACCTAATTTTACCACAGAAAAACGGGGACATGTATTGATTCGAGTATAAGCCAAGAGTGGGAAATGCAGCGGCTACCAATAAATTTCAAAATGAAAGTAGATACCAATAAGATTACATTAATTAAGACATCCATAGATTCAATGTTTTTGAATATTTATTTCGGTTGCTTCTACCCCGCCCTTCTCACCCCGAAGGGGACTCAGGGTGGCTTACAAAAACAAGGCACAATTCGATGCCCGTATCACAAACAGTAGTAAAACAAAATAACATCAATTAACAATTAAACTGGAAAATAGAGGGAGAAAATGTGGAGGCCGTGACAGACTTTGTATTTCTAGGTGCAAAGATTACTGCAGATGCAGACTGTAGCCAGGAAATCAGAAGACGCTTACTTCTTGGGAGGAGAGCAATGTCCAATCTCGATAAAATAGTAAGAGTAGAGACATCAGACTGGCAACAAAGATCCGCCTAGTCAAAGCCATGGTATTCCCTGTAGTCACCTACGGATGTGAGAGCTGGACCTTAGGGAAGGCTGAGCGAAGGAAGATCGATGCTTTTGAGCTGTGGTGTTGGAGGAAAGTGCTGAGAGTGCCTTGGACTGCGAGAAGATCCAACCAGTCCATCCTCCAGGAAATAAAGCCCAACTGCTCACTGGAGGGAAAGATACTAGAGACAAAGTTGAAGTACTTTGACCACATCATGAGGAGACAGGAAAGCCTAGAGAAGACAATTATGCTGGGGAAAGTGGAAGGCAAAAGGAAGAGGGGCCGACTAAGGGCAAGATGGATGGATGGCATCCTTGAAGTGACTGGACTGACCTTGAAGGAGCTGGGGGTGGTGACGGCCACAGGGAGCTCTGGCGTGGGCTGGTCCATGAGGTCACGAAGAGTCGGAGACGACTGAACGAATGAACAACAACAACAATTAAACAACATTTCTTACATTACTAACATATTTACATAAAACTGTAATTCAAGATAAGACTGTCCAACTCTGATTAAACCATTATTCTAACCTTCTTCGATGGAAATGTGCTTACGTATCCTTCCAATAATAATGAAGAAAGTAAAATAATAAATGTAATAATGACAATAATAAATAGAGTAAAATAATAAAAATAAAATAAAATAAAATAATGTAAATGTAATAAAAATAAAATAAAATAGTAAAGAGCAGAGACATCAGACTGGCAACAAAGATCCGCCTAGTCAAAGCCATGGTATTCCCTGCAGTAACCTACGGATGTGAGAGCTGGACCTTAGGGAAGGCTGAGCGAAGGAAGATCGATGCTTTTGAGCTGTGGTGCTGGAGGAAAGTTCTGAGAGTGCCTTGGACTGCGAGAAGATCCAACCAGTCCATCCTCCAGGAAATAAAGCCCGATTGCTCATTGGAGGGAAGGATACTAGAGACAAAGTTGAAGTACTTTGGCCACATCATGAGGAGACAGCAAAGCCTAGAGAAGACAATTATGCTGGGGAAAGTGGAAGGTAAAAGGAAGAGGGGCCGACCAAGGGCAAGATGGATGGATGGCATCCTTGAAGTGACTGGACTGACCTTGAAGGAGCTGGGGGTGGTGACGGCCGTCAGGGAGCTCTGGCGTGGGCTGGTCCATGAGGTCACGAAGAGTCGGAGACGACTGAATGAATGAACAACAACAATAAAAATAAATAGAGTAAAATAGTAAATAATAATAATAATAACAACATTATTTATTTAGGAGATTAATATCCCGTCCTATCTCAACCTCCGCAGAGGGACTCAGGATGGCTAACAACAAAAAACATATGTATACATATCAAGTTAAAAAAACAGGATAAAACGTTATAAAAACATTAAAATAATCGCCAATTTAAGTCGTCGTCCTAAAAACTGTCCATCAGAATCCATTAAAACCATAGCTTTGCCATCAAGTCAAATTAATCCTCAAAGGCCTGATCCCAGAGTCAGGAGGGACGGAGCGGATCTGATTTCACTTGGGAGGGAATTCCATAGCCAAGGGGCCACCTTGGAGAAGGCCCTGTCTCTTGTACCCACCAATCATGATTGCAATAGTGGGGGCACAGCGAGCAGGACCTCCCCGGACAATCTTAAGGTACTAGGTGTAAAATAATAAATAACCTTGACTCGAGTATAAGTCAGAGGGAGGGATTTTCCAGCCTAAAAGGGGGGCTGAAAAACTCGGCTTATACTCAAGTATATGCGGTAAGTGGAAAACACAGCAGACAAAATTGAGCCGAGAAATCCTGCAAAGATATGCACCACCCTAACTACTCAGTCAAACAGTCTCTACTGTTTAGTGGTAGCACTGACCATTTCATACACATAGGTGAGGTGATACTTCTGCTGCAGGAACCTCATCTTTCTCCAGCAAAAGAGAAAGTTTGTGCCTGAGAAATACAGCGCTTCAGTTATCTCTTACTGCTGCCATGCAGAATATGCCCTTTTCCTGTAGAAAATGTCCCACTATTTCACAAATCTTTCTCTTTAATTCTCCTTTCTGCATCCTTAGTTCTTTGAAGGCTGTGCGTTTTTCTTCTCCAGCATGAGCCCAGTCACCTCTTGGACCTTTTCTGCGATATGAATGATGATGAATAACAGATTCTTCCTCTGCACCTGGGACTTTCGCCATTTATTACTTTTGAGATTTTAAAAGCTATTCTATTCTAGGCTACGAACCTCTTCCTTGTCTTTGATAAGAAAATACTGAATACAACAAGGCTACCAGCAAAATCTCTGGAGGATAAGGATATGGAGATGTTCGGGTAGTGATTATGTGCTGTGCTCCAAACACACTTTTAGCTGAAAGACGTTAGCACAGGATTCAGCCAAACCAGAATGAATGGAGAAGGAGAAGGGAGATCATCTCCTCCCACCCTCCACCCCGTCTCTGCATTTGTATGTTAGCTAAACAGCTCTGCATGCCTTTCATAAGAAACCCCATAAAGAGCTGTGTTCTTTCCTGAACTGGAGGTGGAGGACTTGCAGAGATTTAAGAGACCTAGATGAAAATAATTGAAAGGAAAAGTGTCATAAACAGTGAAACATTGCTGAGGGGGAAAGAGTAGCCTTGTGTTCTCCACTTTAGAAACAGCATCTCAATGGATGTTCCCACATCGAAATGATACAGCAGTCAATGTTTTGGAATTTATGATGTTAAGAAAAAAATGTAAAGGCATGGTCATGGAACAGCAAATTCTATTATTTGTCATCATTCATTACCAGCAAGGTCCATCTTCTGATCACAGCAGCAATAATTGAGTTCCCTTAATGGGCTATGTTGACTCAGAGGCAATAGATACATTTAGTGCATCCAGTTTCAGCCGATGGGTCAGGATCTGGTAATGGGTCACAGCCTGACCTTAAATGGGATTCAACTGCAATACTCCCACCATACATCTATAGCAGTGTTTCTCAACCTGGGGGTCACGACCCATGGAGGGGTCCCAAGGGGGTGTCAGAGGGGTCGCACAAGACCATTAGAAAATGCAGTTGATCATTTATTTATTTATTTTCAACATTTATATGCCGCCCTTCTCACCCTGAAGGGGACTCAGAGCGGCTTACAAGATATATATATACAATATATTATAGTATTAGCATAGTACAATATCAGTATTATACATTACTATATTGTCCTATATCATGGGGGTTCTGTGTGGGAAGTTTGGCTCAATTCTGTCGGTGGCATTCAGAATGCTCTTTGATTATAGGTGAACTATAAATCCCAGCAACCACAACTCCCAAATGCCAAGGTCTATTTTTCCAAAACTTTACCAGTATTCACATTTGGGCATATTGAGTTTTTTTGTGCCAAATTTAGCCCAGATCTATCATTGTTTGGGTCCACAATGCTCTCTGGCTGTAGGTGAAATACAACTCCAAAACATTCACACTTGCCCCAAGCAGACAAGAGTTCTTTCTCCCACTCTGGACATTCCACAGATACATAAACCTCACTTGCCTGGTTTCCAACTGACCTCACAACCTCTGAGGATGCCCACCATAGATGTGGGTGAAAAGTCAGGAGAGAATGCTTTTGGAACATGGCCATACAGCGCAGATCTGCATATTTCTTTAAAGGAAATTGTGAATGCATTTCTTAAAATCTCCAAAAACAAATGACGGCTTGTTTCTCTAATGTTAAATGTGCTGACCTTCATAATTTCAGAAGGATATCCAGATTACCCTGACTTGACCTTCCATGACAGACTATTGTAATCAAGTGGAGCTAGGAGTGCACACTGCCTGGCTATCACATCCCTGCTTCCTTAACCTACCAGCACTGCGTGTTGGCCAGAAATATATTATCTAAGAGAAATTGCTCTCCATTGTATGCTTCTCCAAATTGATTCAACATCTTAGGGAAGTCCAAAGGTGTAGATTGCAATCTCCTCGATACAGATTCCCACCCCTCCCAACATGCAACATGTGATGAGCAACATCCCTCTCCCCTCATTAATACTTATGTGAAGAGGAAAACCAACATGGGGCTCTTGAAGTTTTGATAAGATGCAAATCCATTTAAATTTAATCAGTTAAAGGGCAGAGCATTAATCAAGTATAATCAATTCTCCTAAAAGTGATCTGTTGGAAAGTCATTTCGATGCATTAACGTGATTTTGGTGCTCATTCAGGGGCTAGGAAAGTTTTGGTAGTGCTCCCCGCCCGAAACTACAAGAAATTGGGTGAAACAGCTCCAAACACTGGGACTGTCTTTCTTACTTGTCTCTCTTGTTTCCTTCCCAGGATTCCACTGGTGAACCTGTGACCTCTTGGGAGGCAGCAAGATCCGGCTGCTTTGTGGTGAGACCAAATGCTGAAGTTTCCAAGGAATCCCAGAAAACCGGCAGCCTTCCCCTTAGCCCCTTCGTCCTGTGAGTGTGGTGCTGCCACTCCTGACACCGTGGATCCTTTTGTGCCATGACCCTCCATCATCATTTGCAGGCCCATCCTAACATAGAAAGGTGGGCTCAGGTGCCCATTGCCATGCTGGGCTTCTGAGTGGGCTCTTGCCACAGGGATGGCTGAGGTGGTCTCACGTGAGCAGAGAGGCAGGAGTCAGGGCAAGAGGATGAGAGCTGTTCGCATTATAATAACCTAAAGGTGTCCATCTTGTGCCCTAACACACACTGATATATATTTATTTATTAGTAAGCATGCTTGATACCCAGGGCAGAATACTCTGTGTCTCCTCATCTCAACACCAATATTATTTTTTAAAAATCATGTGATCTGAAGAGCCAGAGTTTAGCCATCGTCTCTTTCTGGAAGATGCTGAAAACTGTTATGCATTGTGGGAATGGGCAGAAGGAATTGGGTGAAGGAGAGTTAGACACCCACGAATAGTAGCAAACTAATCAGATTTCTCCTCTGTTAATCAGCATTCCATAATCACTCCCAGATTTACTCATTTCCTGTGGACTTGCTATTCTTTGTTCACTATAAACATTTTTATTGTTAGCAAGGGGAAGACGATAGTAAAAATATAACTAGAACACCAGTTGGCATTGCAAACCACCACCAAGGCTTTTAAAAGCTCCTTGTTTTTTAATTGGAGACGTCCTGGTTACAAGTGCATTCAGATATATCACTTCCCAGTGAGCATAGGTGAGGGATAAGTAACAAACTCTTATTTGGTCCCCAGATAACCTCTCTTAACCACGGTCAAGTAATGTTTGCCCAAATAAAAGCTGTTCAGCAAAGCTATCCGGTAGTGCTAATTATGTCGTCCTCTTATATGTTGAAGCCCATTCACTGCTTCCTGATGGCAGCCATTGGGAGTTAGTTATACATAGCTCATAAGCTGTCCCTTGAATAGGCCATCTTAATTGCTACAATAGTCAGTTTCTGTTCCTGATGGATGGATGGGGAGAGGGGGCTACACTCTTTTTGGCCCAGTTTCAATGCCTACATCAGGCAACAGAGTACACATGTCTCCCTTCAAACGGTCTGGAGAACAAGCCCTATGAGGAGCGGCTTAAAGAGCTGGACATGTTTAGCCTTCAGAAGACAAGGCTGAGAGGAGACATATATAAATATGTGAGGGGAAGTCATAGTGAGGGGGGGAGCAGGCTTGTTTTCTGCTTCCCTGGAGACTAGGACATGGAACAATGGCTTCAGACTACAGGAAAGGATATTCCACCTGAACATTAGCAAGAACTTCCTGACTGTGAAGACTGTGAGAGACTGTGGAACTCTCTGTGGTGGAGGCTCCTTCTTTGGAGGCTTTGAAACAAGAGGGTGGATGGCCATCTGTTGGGGGTGCTTTGAATGCAGTTTTCCTGCTTCTTAGCGGAGAGTTGGAAAAGGTATCTTCCAACTCAGTGATTCTATGATTCTATGTTTCAGTTAAATACAGTTTATTAAATGCCTTTTTGATCATAGACTCGTAAGAATTGGAAGGGACCTCAGGGACCATCATGTCCAACCTCCTGCTTGCTACAGGATCTCTAGCTAAAGCATCCCCAGCATCCTCTTAATGCTTCTTTTTGAAGGCATCAAGAGGAGACCCATCCCTCTAGGACAGTGGTTCTCAACCTGTGGGACTTCAGATGTTTTGGCCTTCAACTTCCAGAAATCCTAACAGCTGGTAAACTAGCTGTAATTTCTGTAGGCCAAAACACCTGGGGACCCACAGGTTGAGAACCATTGCTCTAGGACAGGGGTCCTCAAACTAAGGCCAGATACGCCCCTCCATGGTCAGTTACCTCACTCAGGGTCAACATAAGTCTGAAACAACTTGAAAGCAAACAACAACAACAACAATACTATCTCATCAGCCAAAAGCAGGTCCACACTTTCAATTAAAATACTAATAAGTTTCAAAATGTTCATGTTAATTATTGTATTGTTTTAAAGTATTGGTTTTTGTTTTTTGTATTTTTTTTGTTTTTGTTTTTTGCACTACAGAGAAGATGCGTGCAGTGTGCATAGGAATTCATTCATGTTTTTTTCAAATTATAATCCGGCCCTTCAACAGTTTGAGGGACTGTGACCTGGCCCTCTGTTTAAAAAGTTTGAGGAACCCTGATCTAGGAAGTTGGTTCCATTGTTAGACCATTCTTACTGTCAAAAAGTTCCTTCTAATGTTCAGTTGAAATCTACTCTTCTGTAACCTCAAACCATTAGACCTCATTCTCATATACTCTAACGTGGGTTTTCATGGGCATCAGCTAGATACAAATGGACAGGAGTCCATAAAAGCTTTGGTTAGAGTAAACCAGTTAGTCCCAGGGGTGGTGCAGAATTGTTTTATGCTTTTAGTCAAAAGGGAAATTTGCGCTCCACTTGTCAAAACCTCTCTTTATTTAACTAAAAACCGCAGGAGCCCTCCCAACACGTTTGGCAACTCGTGTCTCTATAAAATTCATAATAAACATTTGAAGTGATTATAATATCTTTTTCCTGCCCCAAAACATTTCAGTAGTTTTTAGCAATAGTACCGAAAACAATAAAGGAAAAAAGATAGTTAAGGAGGGAAGCATTCAATGAAAATGGTGCCCCTATTGAGGACTCCGTATCCCTACTATCCATGTAAGCTTTAAAGTTAGGAATCCAAGGTCTTTGCTGTTAGCAAGGATGTAGCAAGGCATTTCCACTGGAGAGGCAAAGATAAAAATGGGAGGAAGCAGAAGGCACCATAAAAGAAGTTTCCATGGGAAACAGTTTCATTGATAATGGCAAAACTAACCGCTGCGTGATGTGCTTTAATTAGGAAGTCCTTTGTGAAACTTCCACCAAACCAAATCGTTTTAAAATGCAATGTTTTCCATGTTAACATGTGGTGTAGACGAAGTTACTGTATCCATCGCATCCTGGTGGGGATTCCATTTTCTTGAGCTGAGCTGCTGAATCAGCATTGCTTGTGGCTTCTGGGTTCCCCATCTTTTTCAAGTCTGTTCAATGCCAGCCCTGAAGAAAGGGAGTAAAAATATACCCTCTTCTCATTTCCTGGTAGGTTTATGCTCCCTTTTTGGCTATTTTTCCTGCTGTGTCATCACAGCTTTTTGTCCTGTTTGTTTGTTCTGCTGGCTGGCTTGTCAGATTTCTATTTATTTCACTACTTCCTCCCCTTTTATATGCGTATTGGGCACGGATCTGCAAAACTTAATTGTCATTCATCTGTCCTTGGAACCAGTGGAACACGCGAAGTGAAACTAATTTGAATCACGTGATTTTAAATTATTCACTTATGTGTTTATTTGATTAATTTCTGTGCCAAGATGGAAATAAATGGCCACAGTTTAAACATTCTCAGGGTGGCATACACTGTGCTAAAAGGATACATTTTTAAAAAACTGTTTCACCGAGCACTAGCTTACAACCTTTTAGTTGTAGCCGCTGTTCAATGAAACAATTTCCAATTGTTCAAGCGATCACAACCTGATATTATATTGGCTTTTGTGAATGAAATCAGGGAAAAGACAGGTGGAGTGGGGAAGTCTTAAAGGGAAAAAAGGCAAGAACATGGCTTGAAGGGAGAAGAGCAAAGAACGATATGGAACATGGGAGGTGAGGAAGGCAGCCAGGGCCATGGTGGCTGCAGCCACGATAAGTTTGGGCTAGTGCACAAGATAGATGTTTCTGCCATTCAGTTTTGCAATTCATTGTGCTCTTTCTTCCTTCCTTCCATTGCATTGTCTTCCCACCTTGGCTACTTCACTCAGTGACAAATTTCCTGTGCGAATGCCATCTCCTCATAGGAAATTGTGGTAGTGAAAGGGAGCAGTCAAGTGTGGAGTAGCAGTCTGAGTGAGGTTGAGCAAGGGCACCAGTCTACCATGAGGACTTCTGCCGATAAGAATTGAAATTCTTAATGCCATAGACCTTTTCCAGCTAAACTGATTCTTGAAAAAATGGGATGTAGCCATGTAAAGGAAGAAGTGTGATCAATAAGCAATGGGCATAAGTGAAAGGGGAGGTTTGAGGCTGCAAAACTAAGCTCAGAATTATCTGTCAGATATGGGTGCCTATTTTACTCTGTGTTCATGCCATGGAAGCTTGTTTCCAATTGAAATTATTTGTAACAAAATAGACATGTGCACATTTGTCACATCATTACAATCTAGAGAATGGGCTGAGATCTTGTGTCATTACTGATGACAGCATTCTTCACCACCCCTCCCCACCCCAACCTACCTTTGCAGCTTGGCGCTGACCTGTTTCCAAGCCACTGGTGATGCAGCTGCTGGGAAATGGTGCCCACAGTGTGCTCCCAGTTGCGAGGTACCTTGGGAACAGACAATGGGGAGAAACCCTTGGGGATCTTGTCACCACTGCTTGTTTAGAGTTGTTCTGCAACCAGCAGAATGTTGCATATGTCATTTCTAAGCACCCAGATCTCCAGGGCCTCAGATACACTTCAGTCAGAGTGCTGCCAGGCTGCAAAGAGAGATTTTTCTTTGGGTGGGATCAAGTTGAGTAATTCGCAAATATAAATGTGAATCCCCTGCAGTGATGATACTGTAAATCCAGTTTACAATCTCATAACTGCTGAAAAGGATGCCAGCTGGTGTTTCTTTATTGGAAGTGGTGTCTGTGTAAAATAGAGATGAGAAACTGAGATTTCCAGGTTGTATGGACATGTTCCTGAAGCATTCTCTCTTGACGTTTCACCCACATCTATAGGAGGCATCTTCAGGGGTTTTGAGGTCTGTTGGAAGCTAGTCTAGTTTCCACTTGCCTAGTTTCCAACAGACCTCACAACCTTTGATAGTGGCTGCCATAGATGTGGGTGAAACATCAGGAGAGAATGCTTCTGGAACATGGCCATACAGCCTGGAAAAGTCACAGCAACCCAGTGATTCTGACCACAAAAGCCTTTGACAACACAGAGATGAGGAACTTCGTGGAACCATGAAGGACTTTACTCTTGACAGTCTGGCTACTGGCTAATTTGCTCCCAGAAGTAGAGTTGCCCTTGAGCATCAGCAGCACTATGACATCTAGCTATAATGGTGCAGGAAAAGGAAGGGGAAGCATGGTTGATTTGGTGATGGCAGCAGCACCTCCCAAAGCAAGATTTTGCAGGGGAAGGGGTGGGGAGGGTTTGCTGGTGGCTTTGCACAGCAATAGACTTGTGCTGAGGTGGGAGGAGAAGCAGTTTTGCCATTTACTTTCTATTATCATCATTATTTTCCAACGAGGCGGTGCTGTTGTTTGGCAACAAGGTCTGTCGATGGTGGCGGCAGCAGCAACTCCTCCAATTTCAGTTTCATCAGCATCAGCAATGGCAATGGGAGACTCCGTGGGGGGTGCTGCCCACAGACCACATGCCACCGATCCCTGGTATAGAACACTTGTTGTGTGTGTGCAGGGTCTCTGTGTGTCTTTCCCCCCTTCCTGCCACCTTGTGAACTGTATGATATATTTTTGTAGGGTTCTCTTCTCCTTGTGGTAAAATTCTTAAAAACGTGTGGGATGTTAAGTTTCAACATTTTTAAAATAAAACTTTGGAAAATACCAAAGGCACGTGCTTGGTGTGTGCTCTTTATGGACTGAGTTGTCTGATTATTCTGAGCAGACCTATCTGTTTTCATATAATTTTTCCCTAATGATTCTGGGTGGACAGTACATGTCTTTTAATGGAAGGCAGTTTGCTAGAAAATGCCACTTTGATTTCTCTTGGTGTGGGAAAGCCATCAGAAGTGTGGGAAGTGTCACACATCCCTATCTTTCTAACTAAAAGAAAGGGGACATGTGTGTTAGCCATCTGGGAACAGCCTGCGGAGGACGCATTTGGGAATCTCTCTGGAAGCAGGGAGCAGGTCTGCCATTTTAGTTAAGTCTGTAGGACTTGCTTCCACAATGGAAGTTTGTGTTTTTAGTAGATTTATTAATAAACCAAATATTACAAAAATAAACAAAACATGTTTCCAACACTCCATCACTCTCCTCCAAGACAGCCAAATTTGGAGAGTGGAATTCACTGAGGCAGTTATGAATGTCTAACTTTGAGTGATAAATTTGTAACTGGTTTAGATCCACACACTCTTAAATATTAACTACTTTAGAGGATGCTTTGGGACTGTGAAAGTCTCCTAGTCCTAATTTATTGTTTCCCTGTCAATCAGAAAGCAACTGACTGATCTTCCCACTCCCCCTTGATGACTCTGTCTCTCCCCCCCCCCTTTTTTTTTTTTGGCAGCCAGTTAAGACCTTTCTTTTCCAGCAATGCTTTGGAAATTGATATTTACAAGAAATTAGTTTTTATGATGCCGTAATGCCTAAACACCTTAGGCAAAATCTGATCCCATCAGATTTTGAAAGTTAAGCAAAGTCAGTCCTGGTTAGCACTTTGATGAAAGCTATATCTCAGAGGAAGATGCTTACAAACCCATCTCTCTGAGTATTCCTTGCCTAAGAAACCCTTTTGAAAGCCATGAGGTCACCGTAAACCAGTAGTTCCCAACCCGTGGTCCGTGGACCACCAGTAGTCCAGAAGAACTAAAATATGGTTCTCAGCTTCACTGTTACTACACCGTTGCAACAAGAGCAACTGGTCTTGCGAAACCCTCTTATAGTGCCAAGGTTTATTAAATATGGTTTTCTGTGGGCGAGCAAATGGCAACTACTGAATGGCATATGTTCTTTATCAGAAACTAAAGCTGATGTGGTCTATCCAATGCAATTTTCTGAATCAGCCAATAACCAAACCTAATCAGAAGTTGACCAAAAACTGATTTGTAACCCTGTTGGTACTAATGTTGCCCATGGTCAAGTGGTCCCTATAAAAAAAAAGGTTTGGGAACCACTGCCATAAACCCATAGGCGCATATGTACATATACACACAGTTTTAAATCTAATCGAAAATAAGATTTTAAATGGTTTTAATCTGTTGCAATTTAACATGGTTATAACCTTAATTTTATATATTTTTGTGTTTTTATAGTATTTTCTGCCTTTTTATAACATGTCTTGAATCCTAGTCTGGGACAAAAGCATTATCCAGTATAGATAGTTGGATGGGAAGTTTATGACCGCATGTTCTTTCTTTACAGCAAGATATCTTATCCAAGGCACTGAGAAAATTTTAAGTCATAACTTGGCATGTTGATTCCATGCAAAAGTAGGATAATGGCTACCATTTAAAATACATTTATTAGGCACCAAATTGCATAGAAATCTATTTGGCTTACTTATGAATGGGCATAAATAGGATTGCACCTTTCATGTTTGATTGCTCCTGGACCTCGCTGCTAGCAGCTAATACACATGGAAATACCCCCCAGCACAGATAACCAGACCATACCCAAGGCATTTTTTTTTGCTTGAAGTTGTCAGTCTAAATGGCATCTTTCTTCCAGATAATTGACAGGGGATACAACCATTGGTAAGTTTTCCTGTACAACCTCCCAGAAGAACTTCCCAAAGGATGATGCACCCTGGGTCAGATCCACCTTCCTCAAAAAATGCCACCTAAAGGAGCTGACTCCTCTTACCTCATAGTAGGATTGCCTCTGAATTTCCATGCTCTGTTCTGTAATTGCTGATTTGCCTGTAACATACCATTTACCCTCCTAAAATCGTGGATGTTGTAACATTTTAATTTCAGGCTGCAGCAGGGAGGGAGGAGCAAGGACAGAAATAACTGGAGGAAAAGGAAGAGCAAGGCGGGGAGCAGAAAGCTCGCTCGCTCCATTCCCCACGGCTGCCTCCACGCTTTCTATTTCAGGCTCTTCTTCAGCCTTCTCTATCCTTACATGCTGCTCCTGCCGCCAACAGAATTCCAGGTTTCCACGGTGGTTCTCCCAACAGGCCACCTCCGTTTGCTTTTAGTCTCCCGCTTCGTCAATGTTCATGGTACCGTGCGGAAAAAAGGGCGTTCTCTACACAGAGCAACACCTGACAATTTCGCTCTGGTCAGGTTGGGATTGGGGTGTGGGGGCTGGATTTAATTGAATACAGGACAGAGATCGGGGTTGTATACCTGCCTTAAATTCACTAAGTAGACTTCTACCATAACTTACTTTGTTCCACATCTTATTTTAGAGGATGTCATTCTTGCTTCAAGCATGCATTAAGACAGTGGCAGACAACCTGTGGCATTCCAGGTGTTTGGGACTCCAACTCCCTGAGGCCCTAGTCATCTTATCCAGAGGTCAGGAATCTTGAGAGCTGAAGCCCAAAATATCTAGATGGCCACAGGACGGCCACCTGGTGAGATTAGGCAAGCTCCCACCTTAGCAGCGTTTGAGAAAAACCTGAAAACTTAGCTCTTCCGATGTGCCTTTGGAGAGTGACCATTTATCCCATTTCTGTTTGCCCCATTTATAGTGTTGCCCCTATGATGCTCTTCCCCCTGCCTTAAACTGAAAGCCTTACCCCACTGTTTATCCTTTTTGGGCTCCCCTCAATTACATTTTTTTTATTCCTACCTCATCCAGAGTTTTATCATTTTATTTCATCCATTGGCCTGCCCATTGTGCTTCGATTTTATATTGTGTTAATTTGCTTTATTTTATTTTGCTACTGTATGTATTTTATTCTGATGTAAATTTTGTTGTCTGCATTTTGTATTTTTATTTTGGTGTATTGTATCTTGGGACTTGACCTCACGTTAGCCGCCCTGAGTCCCCTTTGGGGGGATGGTAGCGGGATATAAATAAAGATTATTATTATTATTATTATTATTATTATTATTATTATTATTATTATTATTATTGTGCAGACCTCCATTCGGGGAAACTGCCATCTGAACCATTGTTGCCCATGAAAAACGAAGAAGTCATTCCTATGTTCCATGGATACCTATCCTGCTCTTTTTCAGGATTGGCCATTGTTCCTCAAGCAGTTCGTACATTATTATTTTTTTTTTGTCGTGTCAGGAGCAACCGCTCCTGTTGTGAGAGAATTGGCCGTCTGCAAGGACGTTGCCCAGGGGACGCCCGGATGATTTCTGATGTTTTATCATCCTTGTGGGAGGCTTCTCTCATGTCCCCGCATGAGGAGCTGGAGCCGATAGAGGGAGCTCATCCACCTCTCCCGGGAATCGAACCTGCAACCTGTCGGTCTTCAGTCCTACCAGCACAGGCTTTAACCCACTGTGCCACCGGGGGCTCCAGTTCGTACATTTAAACTATACTAATCTAACACAAAATCTTTCTCTAACACACTTTCTGTATTCCTTTCCGTCCCCATTTGCCCACTATTGTTCCTTTCTGGGCTTAGCACAGTGAGTTATGCCGCAAAGCTGCAGAAAATCTTGCCAAGTGAAAGTTGGCAGTTCAAGCCTGGGTTGGGGTGAGCTCCCACCATCAGCCCCAGCTTCTGCTCACCTAACAGATCAAAAACAGCAATTTGAGTAGACAAATAGGTACTGGTTTAAGTGGGGAGATAATAAAAGGCGGCTATAAGGACATGCAGGCGACTCAATCGGGAGGACATCAATGGAC